GTCCCCAACAATCCCATGAGTTCCCTCCAGAACTTACTAGTGAATTTTGGGTCTCTTTCCAAGATGAGTATAGTAGGGATGTTGTGGATGGTGATGATGTGGTCGAAGAAGAGGCGAGAAGTTGCTTCAGAAGTAGGCATGGCGTTGGTCGGGATGAAGTGTTCCATTTTGGAGAACCTGCCGATCACCACGAGTATAGCGTCATGCCCTCGTGAGGTCGAAGGAAGCCCAGTAATAAAGTCTAGGCTAACCAGTTGCCATGGATGTCCCGGTACGGGTACATGCTGAAATAACCTAGCTTTTTCTGCTTACTACTCTTCATCCGCTGGCACGTGTTGCATGAGGTGACGAACTGCTGCACGTCTGCTGCCATCCGGGGCCAGTAGTAATGCTTAGCTTTTCCCGCCTATGTCTTGTTATTCCCGAAATGTTCAGCGTATGCTACCTTGTAAAACTCCTCAGTAAGATCTGTCGAAGGGGGGCATAGTTTGGTACCCAAATTTTCACTGAACCCTTCCTTACTGCTAAGTCTTTCTCCCACTGTAACAACTTCTGTTTCTGTGCTGCAGTGATCTTTGTGTCCGCGAAGTACCCATGTTGGAATAGACCCTTGAGCAGAGGGTTCATCCCGTCGAGCTGGATGCCTGCTACATGTCCTGGGTGGCTCAATGCGTCTGCTTTGTTATATTGCCTTGGCTTATAGATGATGTCGTACTGGAACTAGGTTTCGAGGAAGTCCATCATGGCGTGGGACACGATAGTGTGGGACAGCGTTCAGCTGCGGCTAGTAATTGCGTCGCTCAAACCATGCCGGGCATGGGGCGAACCAAGGAGGCATAGGGCGTGAATACACCTCGCAAAGTCCGTCCTCACGTCAGTATTGCGGAATTCGTTTGCAAGAACAAAATTGGTGACCCAATGCCACTCAACCCCTAGCACCTGCCCTGTTTCGATGAAAGTATTTTTTGATGCAAATTACGTCACATCATTTTTTTATTACTTTTTTTTTTCTGCGAAGTCGCACAATAACACACGTGGGACGCGTGGTGCACAGGGCTACGGGTGCACTTTTAGTCTATTACGGCTTTGATCTCAACACGCAAGAAGCTACGCACTTGGCGACAGCTTGGTTCAATTCTAGACTACACGAGCAGTTTTCTCGTGCTATGTGAAAAGGTCAGCTACATGCACGAAGCGGAGCGAGTGGATCGCCATGTCAAAACTCCAAACCCGGAAATTGTGCAGGAAATTCTTATGCGCGAGGTCTCAACATAATCATGGCGCTCGCTGAGAAGATCGGCATACTACGGCGTCCAAGGCTAGGGTTTTACCACTACAGACAAGATCGACTGAGCACGCCGCGGTTCACGCTGTTGCGACGAATGCCTATGTCACGCCATTTAGGGGACGCTGCTTCGCGTGCAACAGGCAAGAGCGAATGCTGAGAGGAGTTAAAGCACCAAAAATTAGAGCAAGGGATAGAGTCTGGGAGGTAGGGAAACGTCACTCAATAGAGTACGAGCTCATTCCTGATGAGACTCACTGCTCGCCCGACCCCACTAACCTTCATCAAGTGACTGTGCCAATTCAAGCAATCGATCAGGCTCGGTTGAATAAGGAGGGTACAGTGACAGATTGCCGAGTACTGATTCACCGAAAAATACAGGTAACAACAGTGAAGCCTTTAGTTAGTACCGTCATTGCAAGGAAGCCGCAACTGACGCTTGGCCGATGTTTACCTAAAATTGACGTACGATTGGTGGACGGCTCGCCATTAGCAATACAGGAAAAGGTGGAGAGAGTGAAGATTTGTTGTGGGGGGATGATTGGATCTACATAGGAAATGCTTGCAACAACGCTGGATGGGACCGACATTTTATTGGTAAATGATTGGCTGCAATTATATTGCCCTCGATTTGACAGGACAACAGGCAATTGCACTATGTAAAGCGGTGGTAACTAGGTCGCGCTACCTCGGTGGCAGTCACCTGAGCCTTCTACGGCATCACGATGAAACGGGTCGTTGCTTCGGGAGCTGACGTGTACACTGTTGACATTACGAAAGTGGGAGAAGCCGAGAAGCCCGGCAATTTTCAGACAGTGCTGGCAGCCGCACTGACCAAACTGAGGAAACTACAGAAACGGTACCCTTAGTTTTTTCACAATGACCTACCGGAGGGATTGCTACCTTAGCATCCACACGACCATAAAATAGAGTTAGAATTGGGGGCACCACCAGCTGTACAGCGACAATTTCGTCTCACACAGCCCGAGCTGGAAAAAATCAGGAAGCGATTTAGCTATTTGCTCGAGAAAAAAAAAATATTCGACCGAGCTCGTCGCCGTTCGCCGCACCGATACTATTCATAGATTACCGAGCACTGAACCGAATTACCGTAAAGTCGCGATACCCCATTCGTCACGCCGACAAACTGACAGACCAACTGCAAACATCTGGGTTTTTTCAAAGATTGACTTACGCGGTGGTTACCACTAGGTTTGAGTCGAACCGACAAGCTGCGCCAAAACAACATTTAGAACAAGGTACGTGTGAGAGTACGACGGCTTATGCTGGCTTTGCTAGCTTGCCTGGACTTTATTGTGTTATTACTAGCTTAGATTCATTTTATCTTGCATGCTTTTGCTTGATTTCCTAGATTCGTTGCCTTTACTATAGTTATTATAGTTGTAGGCACCGAACTAGGTTGAGTGCACCGAATTCTAGGCTTTTCGGTTGCCACCGAATTGCCTTCTACCGAATTCGGGAAGGACCCGTTCGGGACGCTTCGCGACCAGCGGAATCTTCTAGTAACACCCGGGTTACTGCCTTTGTGTCGAGCCTATATATAGCCTCGCCTTGTACCCAGGTGAATCATTCAATAGAATCATCTTTCCTGAACCAGATCCTCACACTAGGTTATCCCTGAGCGGGTTTACACGCGAGGTCTTCAACCGCGTAGTTCCGGCCTTTAAAAACCGCGGGGGCGACGACGAAGGCGCCGATACGGGTATGTAAAACCAGTTCCGCGCAATTTTTCTAAGTCCCCCTCGATTCGGTTTTCGAACACCCCTCAGATTTTCTGGTGGAAAGGTTGGAGTTTCGACCGTTCGATCGAGTTTCATCTCAACGGCCCAGAGAATTTCGCCCCAAAAAGTTGGAATTTGGAGCGTCGGATCGAGTTTCTTCTCAACGGCCGAGATCGAACACAAATTTCAACCAATGGAGATTTACGCGACTTTCAGAATTTGCGCTCGTCGATTTTACAGTCGATTCGACTCGCAGTAAGTCGACCAGCACCCATAAATCAATTATTTTCGTCGCGCTTCTTTCTGTAAATCGCCAAATGGAGGGAAAAAGAGATATTTCAGTACAGAAAATCGCGGAGTTACGTGCCGAGCATAAGCAGATACGTGCGGCGCTCCCACGACTCGAGAAACTCCTTGCGAACCAGTCGGCAACCGCCACAGCAGCAGCGAATGCAGCAGCGACAGCAGCAGCAGCAGCAGCAGCAGCGGCGACACCGACAATTCTACCTGCGACAACGGCAGCAGCTACAGTTAACCTCGAAGCAGTGAAGCTGAGGCTACCGGAGGCGTTCGATCCTATAGTTAAAGGGAACGACGTTCGTCGATTTGTAGCTGAACTCGAAATTTACTTCGAAGCCGTTGGATGCACGACCCCGACAGAAGACGCAATGCGCATACAACTCACAGCAACACTGTTACAAGGCCCAGCTCTAGAGTGGATCAACAACAGAATAGTCCAGGGCGAAGGGACGTGGGCGTAGTTTCAGGCAGCACTGATCGAACAGTTCGACACGTTGAACAGTAGCTACTACGGAACACGACGCAACAAGCCAACTAGTGGCATGGGGCGATTGGCACCACCCACGACTGCTGAACCGATGGAGAACGACGAGGGCGATGTGGAGCAGCGGCTAGCAAAAACTGAGACGTACAAATTTTGCGGCGCTACAGGACATCGTATCTTGGCGTGTTGGGAAATGAAGGGAAGGCGTGCGGAGCTGAGATACAAGAACAGTGCGGCACCCCCGAAGCAGAAAACGGACAATGTGGCAACTTCGGAGCGGGCGAAAAAAGGAGAAAATGATGGCGCGAATTTAAAACGTCACGACCAGCCGGCACCAGGGGAAATCGCCGAGACAAATGGAGACTCCGCGAAACAAGACCCTGCACCGACTGGGAAACTCCAGCCGTACACCCCGACAAGTAAGAATATTACTTCTCGTGGGTTTCAAGCCTTTATTAAGGGAGAGTCAGAAATTAAACCGGTACCGGGTAATATGGGGACCCTACTCCGGAGCGCTGATAAGGGTCGTGCGTTCCAAGGAGTTAATATTCTCTCCCAGCAGCTCTGTTTAAAGGCTCCCTGTTCCCCACAGATGAAGCCTACACAGCTGCAAAGGCCTAGGGGAAGGTTCCAGGCTCAAGAGAAGCCGTACCAGCCTTGGATAAATCCTTCTAACCCTACTCAGGTGATACCTGATATTGAAGCTGCATCTTCGAGCGCAGGACCTAGGGATGACATATTCGACGTACCCTACGATCCTATAAGCGATACCATCTACGGCTACTCGGAGCAGCAACAGCCACTAGTACTCGAGGTGATCTGCAACGGGCGACGCCTCCAGACACTGGTGGACAGTGGTGCGTCCCACTCGGTGTGCGACTGCGGGACGTTGGAGAAAATTGAAGAATCCTCAGAAGAGACCCAGTTTACAGCAGTGATGGTGGACGGTACGAAGCTTCCCATCCACGGCGAGTCAACACTGCAGCTACAGATAGGAGCGTTAAGGTGGAAGCCGACGTTGCCGATCACGAACATCAAGGGATTAGATTTCATCTTGGGGCGTGATTTTCTGAAGCGGTTCAACCCCGAGATCGACTGGGTCAACCGGAAGGCGTGTATCTACAATAACAGGAAACGTGTGAAGCTGCAAAGGTGGACGGATACAGGGGATACTCCTCATCAGCAAGCCATGGAGCAGCTACAGACAGCACTGACTACAGCACCAGTACTCATCCTACCGAATCCAGACAGAGACTACGTGGTGGAAGCAGACGCTAGTGACCAAGCAGTCGGAGCAGTACTGATGCAGAATCACGGACGCGGTTTGCAGCCCATCGCCTATCTGAGTAAGAAGCTACACGGAGCAGAACTGAACTACCCTATCCATGACAAGGAAGCCTTAGCGATAGTCACAGCCTTCAAGGCGTGGAGGTGTTACCTAGAGGGAGCCAAGACTACAGTTTACACTGACCACTGCAGCCTCAAATACCTGAAGTCGCAGCCGACGCTCTCACGACGACAGGTGCGGTGGGTAGACTTCTTGGAGACCCACTTCCACTACGACATCGTCTACAAGCCCGGGCTATACAACAAAGCTAACGCGTGGAGCCGCCCCGGTCATGTAGCAGGCATCCAACTCGACGGGATGAACCCTCTGCTCAAGGGTCTATTCCAGCATGGATACTCCGTGGACGCAGAGATCGCTACAGCAGAGAAACAGAAGCTGTTACAGTGGGAGAAGGACCTAGCTGTAAGAAAGGGATCAGGAAAGATTTGGGTACCAAACTATGCCCCGCTCCGACAGATCGTACAGGAGGAGTTTCACGATGTGGCATACGCGGGACATTTCGGGAGCAACAAGACGTTAGCGGGAATAGCAAAGTATTACTACTGGCCCCGGATGGCAACAGACGTGCAGCAGTTCGTCACTTCATGCGACACGTGCCAGCGGATGAAGAGTAGCAAGCAGAAAAAAGTAGGGTTACTTCAGCCTCTACCCGTACCGGAGCAGCCATGGCAAGTTGTCAGCCTAGACTTCATTACTGGGCTTTCTTCGACCTCACGAGGGCATGAAGCTATACTCGTGGTGATCGATAAGTTCTCTAAAATGGGACACTTCATCCCGACCAATGCCACGGCTACTGCTGAAGCAACTGCTCGCCTCTTCTTCGACCGCATCATCACCATCCACGGCATCCCCGCTACACTTATCTCGGACAGAGACCCTAAGTTCACTAGTAAGTTTTGGAGGGAACTCATGGGATTGTTGGGGACAAAGCTTGCGATGTCTTCAGCGTACCACCCCCAGACTGACGGACAGACGGAGCGACTCAATCAGGTGGTTGAACAGTTACTGCGCACAGCTTGCAAAGACGACGTCAGCCACTGGGATTCACAGTTACCGACACTTGAGTTCGCTTACAACAACGCGTCGCATGCGGCCACAGGGAAATCTCCATTCTTCCTGTGCTACGGACGGGAACCACTTACACCACAGCAGCCAACCACACCGGCACACGTCCAAGCTGCACACGACTTCGTCACCACCATGCAGCAGCTATGGGAGAAGACTCAGCGACGTCTTTCCACGATGCAAAACTCCCAGAAGCAGTATGCCGATCGCCAGCGACGTGATCACTCAGTAGCAGTCGGAGATCAGGTGCTTCTTGACACGCACAACTTGAACCTGTCTCACCTACCATCCAAACTCCGGCCTCGCTTCTGTGGTCCTTTTCTCGTGGAGGCACAGGTGACACCAGTTACATTCCGCTTGCGCTTACCTACTACGTGGAAGCTTCATAACGCTTTCCATGTTCAGCTACAAAAGCCCTACAAGGACCCCAACCAACAGTTCCAGGGACGCCAGCTACCGCCACCATCACCTGTTCTCATACAGGATGAACCAGAGTACGAGGTGGAAAAATTTCTCGCTCATCGACGCACACGGCAACACGCTCGAGTTCCTGATACGCTGGAAGGGATATGACCCATCGGAGGACAGTTGCAGAAGCTGATATGGGCAACGCACGCCGTGCTCTCAAGTACTATCTTGTCAAGCAGGGTGTTTCTCACGCCACCCAGCTTTGAGGGGGGGACGTGTGAGAGTACGACGGCTTATGCTGGCTTTGCTAGCTTGCCTGGACTTTATTATGTTATTACTAGCTTAGATTCATTTTATCTTGCATGCTTTTGCTTGATTTCCTAGATTCGTTGCCTTTACTATAGTTATTATAGTTGTAGGCACCGAACTAGGTTGAGTGCACCGAATTCTAGGCTTTTCGGTTGCCACCGAATTGCCTTCTACCGAATTCGGGAAGGACCCGTTCGGGACGCTTCGCGACCCGCGGAACCTTCTAGTAACACCCGGGTTACTGCCTTTGTGTCGAGCCTATATATAGCCTCGCCTTGTACCCAGGTGAATCATTCAATAGAATCATCTTTCCTGAACCAGATCCTCACAGTACGGGTCATTTGAGTACACCGTGATGCCTTTCGGGTTGACCAACGTACTTGCGACCTTTCATATGACCATGAACGTGCGTTTAGGCCCCTTGTAGATAAAGGCATAATCGTCTACTTCGACGACATCTTAGTTTACAGCTAGGATAAGGAACAACACTTGGAAGCAGTGTGCAAAAATTCAGACGAGCATCGGCGGCTGACGAGGGCTCCAATTGCGAGTTTTTTTTTAGGGCCACTTGGAAATTTTATGTCTTCTCATTTCGAAGGCTGGAGTTGAGACTATCCCAAAAAAATAGACATGTCAAAGGATGGCACCCCCTGACGAATATCACGAAGCTCGAGAGCTTTTTTCTTTGGGTTTTGTTAACTATGTATGTCGGCTCGTCGCCGACATGGCATGGTTAATTGCCCACTAACCGACTTAGCGTGGAAGGGGGTCGCTTTTACGTGGGGGGAGAAAGAGCATCCTGCCTTTCCTGACCTGAAAAATGTTATGTGTTCGCCACTCGTTTTACGCATCGCCGACCCACACCGACCATTCGAGGTCGTTATTGACGCCAGCGACATTGCCATTGAAGCGGTGCTGTTACAAGACTTCGGCGACGGCCTGCTGCCCATCGCATACGAGTCACGAAAAGTTCACCCGCCCGAGAAGAATTACCTGGTTCATGACCGCGAAATGCTCACAATCGTGCACGCGTTCAAACTGTGGCGTTGTTACTTGACTGGCGCCGATGTGACAGGAAGGACAGACCACCGCTCACTACAGTACCTCCAAGTGCAACTCCACCTCAACCCACGACATATCTGCTGTCTATACTTTTTGAACTCGAAAATTTACTATACGATCACCTGTTAAAAGGGTGCCTCCAACATTGTTGACGCACTAATCCGCCTGACTACCTAGATACATGCGATACTGCTCGCCCAGACCAGCCCACCGCTCACAGGATTATTCACCTGCGGCTACCAAACAGACCCACTAACGGCAACTCGTAGCAGCACGAGGGGTGTATTACGTAAAAGCTGGCATCGACCACATCTGGGTAGCGGGAAACACCTTGGTGCGGGAATTATTACTATGATGGGGTTACCTTAGTACACTATGCAGTAAAAAAAACACAGCACCAGCTGCAGCGGTATTACTACTGGGCCGACATGCTGAAAGAATTACATCGACACGTGGCATCTGTTGACGGGAGTTGGCCCCGCCCTTGCTTGAGCGAAGCCGACTTTGTCGTCGGGTGCGCAGGAGGTGCAGCTGACTACCTGCAGTGGTCGACGCTGATTTGGGCGAGCAAGTCAACGGACTTGGTCTACTTGCGCGGAATTACTGCAAAGCCGTCGATGATGGGAAGTCGACGGTCGACTTCAACTCGTGTGGTCGACGGAGGGGTTGGTCGACCTGCGGGGACGCCGGCTTAGTATTGTCGGCGGGTGGTGTCGACCTGTACGGTTGACGGGGATATGCATCAGTTTGCGGGCTCCTACCGCCGATTAAGTTGACGCTAAGTTGGGGGTTTCCCACTCGACCGAGTAACCCGTGTGACGAGGTTCAACCGGGATGCGCGAACGTTGCCCATGTAGCTATGGTAAAGCCGACCGACGTGGAAGCATGTGGTCGACATGGCACCCGCGCAAAGTGAGTGGCGGCTCACGTCGTGCTCAACCGTCTACTGTCACCTGTGGTTGGAATGCTGGCCAACCGCTCTGCTGCAGTGTTGGCAAGCCACCTTGGTGCAGCTGGCAGTCCGCCAACTTGCTACGTTGGCAAGCCACCTTTCTACAACGTTGGCGCTGTCAACTTGCAGTGTTGGCAGGTCGCCGAGTTTGCTAGGTTAGCGCCTGGAGGTCGACCTGCTCGTCTGCTAGGTTAGCCTTGCCTCTGATGTAGTCATTCTTGACATTTTTTTGTATCATTGTTATCAAACTTTGCGAGTGAAACTCTTGTCGTTTTGCCCCGTGAACACGCAAGTGCTAGAGAACTCAAGGAAAGCTACGATCACTCGTACTAGCTTTGCTTTCCCCGTAGTCTTGCTCCCACCAGTGTAGAGTGACTCTCTGCATGGTGTGGTGAGCGTGGACGGCCCCACAAGACACCTTTAGATAGTAACCGATGTATTGCTTACCTATGTTGTTGGCCGGCAGCCATCTTAGTCACCATGGTAGGTCACGAGGCCGAAGCAGGCGTAGCGGATACCCCCTAGGCAAGGGAGGCTGATGTTTGGCGATTCCACATAGATTACGAGATCGGCGAGGCTCCCTTGGAGGTGCTCCTCCGAGTAACTCGTGCGCAGTGGGCACACGACCAATCTTCCCGACCTGAAGCGGATGGCGAGTCAGCCTCTCCCCGACTGGCACGCAACAAAGGCGGGCGTGGACAAACAGGTCGACGGCGTTGACCAAGTCGACAGTGAAGGAGGCACAAGGGTGACTCATGGAGCGAGCAAGGCCGCCAACGACGAAGTCAGCGGGATATAGGGGCGAGTGCAGCGGTAGACCCCGACTGCGGGTTGCCGCACGGCGACATCGGCTGACGACATTTTTTTTTTTTTTTTTTTTTTTTTATGTACACGATAACAAGCACACAACCAGAGATGTAACTGATTCTTTAGAGAGCAAGGCTCACTATAGAAATAGTGAGCCCCCCCTCCCGCTCGTGGCTTATGGTAGCTTAAAAAGCGTTCGCGGGTCCTCCCAAATCAGCCGTATATTGGCACTCCACGTCAGCTTAGCGTCGCTATCATGCAGCTTGCACATAGCTCGTTTTTCATCGGCTGCAAGGTGTCCCAGTTGTTGCTGCCAACTTTCCGTTTCTTCCCTTTCTTCCCCTGCATGTGCGCCCTCTTACTGTACACCCTGACGTGTCTATTGAAATTGCCAGGATCCTCCTCATCACCCTCTTGTGTTGAAAACGTTCTTGACGAAAAGCTGCCCCGCACTTCTCCAACCAGATTTGTTGTTACGCTATCGTCGTAAGCGTCTGGTCCGGAAATCTTGTCTTCGTGACCATTTCCCTGAAAAGCAGGTCCCCCACCGAGTCTGTTTTTTGTGAAGCTCCCATCAGCTGCAACGATGCTTGCAGCTTCCCAACCACCTTCCCCACCACTGGGCAGCTGAAAAGACAGTGGTCCATACTCTCCACGTCACCGCAATGTGGGCCTTTCGCGCTCTCCCAGGAAAGCCAACTTGCAGATTTCGGCCGTGGGCACCGAGAAGCACCTCCCGTGACCTCACCGGCACCGCTAGCGAGTCTCTGCGTGCAATGACCTTCTTCCATTCCACTCGTTCCCCAGCTTCTCCTCCCAGGCAACCTACTGCTTGGGTTGCTTGGCTGCCTCTTTGATGCCCTTGCGAAGCTCTTTGAGTGACTTGGGCTTCCCCGCCTTGCACATGGATGACTCTTGTAGATGAATTAGGTGTAGCCCCATCTGCCCTATCCGCACACCATCCACCACCTTCCAAGGCGTCACTCTATGAATACCCAACATTATCGGGCTCGTACACCAGATTGGCGAGTACACGCCTTGGTCCGACACGTCCGCCAGTCTAACTGCTAGCTTGTCACCTTCCGCTCGATCCACTATCCAAATGTTTTCCCCCCTATCTTGCTGCTCAGCTACTCCAGTGCCTTTTCCGTGTAGTTCCCGTCTGCTCCCTTCACGTACAGGTCGCCAAGTTTAATCTCTTTCAGGTCCGAGCCTCTCTGTGCGCCAAACGGGCTTTTCCCACGAAAGAGTATATGGTGGTTGAACCACAGCCGCTCCAGCACTGCTTCCCATCTGTTCGCCAGCTCCTCCAGCGAGGTTTGCTGCTCTTCTAGAAAGTTTGTAGCGTGGCCTTCTACCTCTCACTACCCTTCTTCCAGTGACCAAGGATGCTCTTATGCGCCCAGAGCGTGGCCAGCCCAAGGGTAAAGAGACCGCCCATTCTGTTATCCATTACTTCATCCCCCCATTCTCCGCTATTGCTGACCCTAGACAATAGAGCGCCATGCTGTCGGTCCGGTCTTTTAGATTTATAACCCCCAATCCCATGTTTGCTCTGATTTTGCACGTTAAATCATAACTCCAGAGGACAAAATGGCGCTCCAGAGACGCTCTGCCCCACGAGACGAAGTTATGTCAGATGCGTTCGATCCTTCTCCAGAAGTCTGGTGGCAGCGGGTATACCTGAGCTTGAAATTGCAGTACCGGCATCACGGAAACGCTTATCACCACCACTCTCGCCGTGGTCGTCCGAAATTGCGCTTCCCATTTCCCGAGTGAGCTGCAGACCCTTTCAAATGCCTTCTCCTATGACGGCCGAGCGTCACCATGTGGGCGAAGGACGGTGACGACGACGACGATGACGTCCCTCTCCCCAACAAAGCGGTGTTGGGCCGCCGTCAACGACCCACGTGTCGGCTGGCTGGGACGGAGGTATCCCGTTGGCGTACGAGTACTTCAAGTTTTCTCCGGACAAGATCGCCATGCCCGCGTTGCTGGAAGGTCGACATGACTTCATCACGTGGAGGGAGTGAATTGTGCCCCAGCTGGAAATTGGTGGGCTGAAGTGTTTTGCCAACGGCGGCATGGAGACGCCAAGCGAGGCCGACATCGAGCTCCGGGACGGATTCCGCGCCGCTCACTTTCTGACCTTCATGGTGCAGATTGCCCTGAAGCCTTGCCGACTTTGACTGGACGCCGGCCACCAAGCGTGGCAGTTCATCATGTCAACTTACTAGGTGACCGACAACCTGTACATCGGCCAACTGGAAGAGCTACTGACTCACCTCAGGACGGGCAATCAGGAGTCAGTGACGGTCTATTGCAACTGAGCACGGCGAAATCTGGCCGACATGCGGATCGCCGACGTCGACTACTCGACGGCGTCCTATATCACGCACATCGTCAAAGGAGTCCCGTCGGGCTACAACCTGATGCGCTGGATGTTGGCAATGCCGGGCGTGCGTGAGTCGCTCGACGAGGACACGTTGATGATCCACGTCATCAAGGATGAGGCAAAGAAGTCTGAGAGGTCCATGGAGCTCCTTTCGTAGGCTCGCATTGACGAAGAAGGGACGTCAGCAGGGGCAACATGCAAAGTCAGGCAGAGGTGGCAGCAAAGGTGGGAAGTCGACGAAGGACGCCGATTGGACTCGGGACAGAAGTAGTGGTGGCGGTGGTCGACAGCAGGAGTGCTGGGTCAGTGGCGACCCCGACCACATCTCCTTTGAGTGTCCCGAACATGAGGGCTCCGACGACGACGGCCACAAGGGAGGCTACGGGGAGTCAGCCGACGGTCGTTAACGCTGGGACGATAATCTGTGCAAGAAGAAGCATGCATCAAAACAGACGTTGTCGTCAAAGAACGCCAACTCCTCCTCTGGCAGCAAGGCACAAAGCGACGGAGAGGCCTCGTGCTCGATGGTCGGCGTAGTGGAGCCGACGGTCTCGCTGGAGCCGGAGGCCAACAAGGATTTCAAGGCGGTCGCGACCACTGTGAAGGCGAACCCGACTGTGGTGCTTCTTGACAACGGCTGCTCCCACCACCTGATGGGGACGAAGGAGGCCTTCGTCGACATGCAACTGAGTTGCGACGTGCACCACGTACACTGCTTCAACAGGGGGCCTTCAGGACTTCCAATGCCATGCCGGAGCACCGTCACCTTGCAAGGGAAGGCTGTGAGGCAGGTACTCATCCCTGACGTACTCTATATTCCGGGCTTGCGAGCGAACCTACTGTCGGCCGGCCAGCTGAAGGATAACAGCGTGAAGCTACAGGACGACGACAATAAGATGCTGCTTGTCTTGGCGGCGGGGGACGTGCTTGCTCGGGTGCGGTATACACGCCGAGTCCTCTGCACCGACCTTCGCCCCTGCTCGACAAAGTCGACGTTGGCGTCGACAGAGATTGCGGTTCTGCGGACGATCGCCTCGACGCCGGACATGTGGCACGCATGGCTTGCGCACGTCGGCATCGACATGGTCAAGAGCTCGGCGAAGCACAAAGTCGCCACTTGCCTGGACATCAAGGCGCCAGCCAGCGCCGACCTGCGGTGCGTCTCCTGCGTTGGCGGCAAGCTGGCGCGGCGCACCTTTCCCGACAAGGGCTCGCATGCGGAGGAAGCCCTGGCCGTCTTGCACATTGACTTATGCAGGCCGTTTCAGGTGGCTGCCAAGGATGTGTGAGTGCGGCCGGTTGCCAAGAAGAGCGACGTGCTGCGGATGTTCAAGAATTGGTTGACGGTCGTGGAACGGCAGACTATGAATTCGGTGCTGATTCTCCGCTCTTACCGCGCAGGCGAGTTCCTTGGGAAAGAGTTCGCCGATTTCGTCAACGGAAAGGGGATCGTTCACGACCTGACATGCCCGTACACCCCGCAACAGAACAGCATGGCAGAGCGGGAGATGCGCGCGGTCGTCGAGGCCGTACGGACGATGCTGCTCCACAAGGTGCTGTTAGAACAGGAATGTGTTATTAGGTCAAAGGGGAGGGGGTACAAGTACAATGTCGAGAGAATTTTTGTACCCCCTAAGGCTAAACCCCCTACAGCCTAGTACAATATGATCATATAAGTTTTACACACCCCCATAGGCGAAATGGGGGATAGCCAGAGCAAGCAATGGTCACAAGACCAGTCAAGAGAAGAAGCAAAGCAAAGCAAAGCTGGAGGTGGATCTCAAGATCACCACACATTCCGAGCACACGCAAGTGGCCAAAAGGCCAGTTCACATGCAGAGTTTATAATAGCAAGAGCAGTACAGTAATCACAACCTAGCAAGTGTAAGCATGCAGGTATACTTATATATATCAGTGTACAACAAGGGCAAGGCAAGATCAAGAGACAAGCAGGTGAGGCAGAGTGGGCACAAGCCCAAGAGCAGTGCAGAAACGCTGATGATCACCAGACCCAAGGGCCTTGGTGAAGACATCAGTAGTGTTGGCCTATGTGGCCACGTAAGCAAGACGAAGCTGACCACGCTGCAGCAGCTCTCGCGTGAGGAAGTAACAGAGAGCAATGTGCTTCGTGCTGTTCTCCAGTCTCTGGTCCTGACTTAAGGCAATCATGGCCTTGTTGTCGACGTACAGAACCGGAGGAGAACGAGGCCGCTCACCCAAGTCGGTCAGCAGGTAGGTCAGCCAGCGGAGCTCCTGTGCAGCCATAGCCCCAGCGTAGATCTCGGCCTCACAGCTGGAACTAAGTACAGAAGACGAGCGAGTGGACCTCCACGAGACAGAACCACCTCCGAGGCTGAAAGTGTAACCCTGTGTCGACCGTTGAGTCATCTGGTCGTCAGCCCAAGAAGCGTCTGAGTGACCGGTGAGAACAACTGGACCCTGTCCTCCAAGCACGAGCCCCATGCCCGATGTATTGCACAAGTAATGCAGTACCCTCAACGCAACTTCCCAGTTTACCTTTTGGTGTCTACCGGGAGCCACGTAGAGAGCCAGAATGCTGAGAGGGTACGCGAGGTCAGGTCGCGTGCACGTCATCAGGTACATGAGGCAACCCACAAGCTCTGGATACGGACCAGTCGGCTCTACGGACTCGTCCGAAGGTGGAGCTGAGAGCGAGTGGCTCGTAGGCAGAGGAGTGGGCTGTGGCGAGGAGAACTGGAAGCCGAAGGGCTGAAGGACCTGCTGCACCATGTGTAACTGAGTCAAGGTGATGGTGCGGCGTGCTCGGTCCCGGGTGATCTGCAAGCCAAGATAGCTCCGCAGCTCACCCAGGTCAGTGCAGATGTGTCTCTTCTGCAGCTCCGACTTCACAAGGGCCAGTGCCTCAGTGTCAGCAGTAGCAAAAACCAAGTCGTCGACGTACACAAGAACGTAGAACAGCGGCAGAGAAGTGTCTGTACGCAGAAACAGTGAAGGGTCAGCAGTCGAGGGAGCGAAACCAAGAGCCACAAGTATCGTCGTCAGTGTGTCGTGCCATTCACGGGGTGCCTGACGCATACCGTAGACTAGCCGCCGGAGGCTCCACTGGGTACCCTCAGGAAACGACCCAGTGAAGCCAGGTGGGCGGCGCAACCAGATAGCCTCGTGAAGGCTGCCCTGCAAGAAAACTGTCGAGAAGTCGAGGCAGTGCAACTCGTAGTCACGGTGTGCTGCAACGTGCAGTAGCACCCGAAGAGTGGTCATCTTCGGGGTGGGGGAGAAGGTCTGGAAGAAGTCGACCCCCTGACGCTGACTGAAGCCTCGTGCAACGTAACGCGCCTTGAAGGCAGGCGGAGAACCCGGTAGCCGCATCACCCTGAAAATCCACATGCCATCGACTATGTTGGGCCTAGGTGGGGGAACTGCGTCGACGTAGGTGCCTGTGGACTTTCAGGAAGCCATCTCTGCGTCCATGGTTGTCTGCCACTGAGAGGAGTACGGACCTGTGATTGCGTCTGCGTAAGAGCGCGGGGTCGGGATGTCCAGTGCATCCGGGTCTCCCTCAGGGCAAAGTAGCGTGGACGCGAGATGAGGTGCAGCGGCCGCTAGGCACTCGAGCTCAAACTGCCTGTCCTCAAGGACGTCACAGCCAAGGGCAAGCTCACCCCCGACGGACGGAGGACAGGAAGAGTAAAAAACAAGACTCGCAGCGTAGTCAAGGCAGCACAAAGCAGCAAAGTCAACAAGCTCAGCAACTAAGGCAGACGCAACAGCGGACTCAAAGGAGGGGTCAGTCACAACTGTGGCAAGAAGACAAGTGACGGTCGGACTGGCAGTACGGGCAAGGCCTGACTCAGGATGAGGAACGTGAGGAAGAGAAGACGCGGGAGGCGACGGCAGGGCAACACGCTGTGGAACAGAGGAAGGACGAAGTGCCATGGTGTGCGTGCCAGGGACAGGTGGAGGACGAGGACGCACAGCATGGCGAGAACGAAGAGGCGTGACAGGACGCGACGCATCCTCTCTATGCTCAGTGAAGGACTCTGTCAGTGCAGTGTGTGGAGCAGGAGCAGGCAGTGGGGAGTGAGGCAGTAGTTGTGGCAGAGACTGGGCACGCGGTGGAAACAGTAACGGAGGAGTAGTGCCGGGTACAGGAAACTCAGTAACAGCAGGCGGGGGACTGAGAAGGTGACTAAGCGCAGACTGCTGCGGCTGAGTAGTCGCACCCCCAGAACCTCCAGCTCCAGTAGCAACAGCACCCCTGGAGCCCGTACCTCCAGCTCCACCACCAGGACTGCCCCAACGGACAGCCGACTCGCGAAGCTGCTGCGGCGAGAGCGACTCCTGCCGACTAGCACAACCAACTCCAGTACCTCCAGTAGCACCTCCAGTGTCAGCACCGCCAGTACCACCAACTCGCGGAACAACGGCACTAGCACCTACAGGGCCAGCACCTCCAACACCTCCAGTAGCACCTGTGCTTCCAGTACCAGTGCCTCCAGCACGGCCAACACCAGGAACACCAGCACTAGCACCTCCAGGGCCAGCACCTCCAGAACCTCCAGCAGCACCTGTGCCTGCAGTACCAGTACCTCCAGCACGGCCAACTCCAGGAACACCAGCACTAGCACCTCCAGGGCCAGCACCTCCAGATTCTGCAGCTCCAGCACGTCCAGCGCCACCACCAGGACTGCCCAAACAGACAGCCCACTCGTGAAGCTGCTCCGGCGAGAGAGGCTCATGGCAATGTGAGCCAGGACTACCCGTAGCAGCACCCACAGCAGCAGCACCTCCAATACCTCCAGTAGCACCAGTAGTCCCAGCACCGCCCGCTCGAAGACGGCTAGCTCCGCCACCAAGGCTGCCCCACTGGACAACCCACTCGCGAAGCCGCTCCTGCGAGAGAGCCTCCTGCCGACTCATACCAGAACCACCAGCACTAGCACCTCCAGTACCTCATATACCCAGAGGACACTCAGCACCCCCAGAACCAGCACCCCCAGAGTCCGCACCCCCAATGGCACCACCTCCTGCAGCACCAGAGTCCATAGCGTCAGGCTGCAACAGCGGTAAAGACGGAGACCAGTGCGAGAGGCAGGAGGGGCACATGTGAACTGCGGTGGGGGTGGAGACGGTAGAAGCAGACTGACTCGTCAAAGGTGATGTCCTGGGAGGAGAGAACACGACGAGAACCCGGGTGGTAAAAATGCCAGCCCGGGGCGTCGATAGGGAAGCCAAGGAAGACGCAGCGAAGAGTGCGGGGAGAGAGCTTTCCCGCGGGGGGGGGGGGAAAGGGAAAGGGCAAGAGAAAGGGCACCCCAGACCCGAAACGCCGACGCATCATCAACCTCGCCCGTCCACCACAGAGTGGGAGAGGTCTCCGGGTGGGAGACACGGGGCCAGAGTTTGAGTTGCTCAGCAGCGTATCGGACTGCAAACGGCCACAAAAAGGGGGGAGCAGCCGCATGGATCATGGAGGTGCGAGCAACCTCCATGACCAAGCCAATGCGGCGCTCAGCAACCCCATTCTGTTGTGGAGAGGCCGGAAGCGTGAACGTCTGGCGGATGCCCTCAGCACCACAGAAGTCGTCGAGGAGACCAGAGGAAAACTCACCACCTCGGTCAGAGTGCAGTCGCATGACTGGGAGGTTGTGCTGAAACCGAGCATTGAGCTGGCGACGGACAGCACGGATCCAGCGGATCAGGACACTGCGGACCTCCACCTTGCTCTGCAAGGGGAAGACGGTGGGTGTAGCGCGTGTAGTCATCTACAACCAGCAAGAAGTAGCGCTCTCTGCCCTGTACAGGGACTCGTGCTGGACCCCACACGTCCATGTGGAGGGTCTGCAGAGGAGCTGTGGTCGGAGAAAACGAGGAGGAATGAGGAGCGGCGCGCTGCCGCCCCTCGACGCAGGGATGGCACGGCGGCGCAAGCAACCTCGGGAGCGGGGGCAGGGACTTGGGAAGCCCAGAGACAAGGAGACGGGAGTGCATGCCAGGAAGGCGTGATAAGGAGGGGTGGCTTAGACGTTGGTGCTAAAGGAGAATCTGGTGCGTGAGGAGACGACATGAGCAAGACGCAGCGACCTCAACCGACACAGCTACCTGAACTGACTCAACTACCAGTGCAGACTCAGTAGTCAGTGTGTACATGCCAGACCTAGGTCTCCGAGTGAACGTGGCGAAGTGCTCACCAGTGCGCGAGTCCGTACAGATCGCCACTCGCCAGAACAGTGAAAGTGGCCATGGTAGGCAGTGTCAGTCAGCAGTAGCGGTTCAAGGGCTGAAGTAGCGACTGCAGCGGCGGTAGCCGGAAAGGTAGGTGCAGTGGCAGCAGTGGTAGGAGCAGTAGCGATAGCAACTGTAGGAGCGCGCGTAGGCGGTAGCAAGGGCGGTAGTGGCAGTTGGCAGTAGCAGCAGGAAGGGGCAGCTCAGTAGGGCTGCTCGATTGGGAGGCACGGAAGTAGCAGCAGCAGGCGCGCAAGCAGGGCAGGGCAGGGCGCGAGCTGACGGTGCAGCCTTGCAACGCGTAGGGCCGTGGGCGGTGGGCCAGCAGCAGGCAGCAGCTGCAGATTGCCAGGGCAGCGCTGGCGGCGGCCAGGCAGGGCAGGGTAGCGCTGAGCAGCGCGTGCAAGCAGGGCAACAGTGGCAGTGGCTAGTAACAGTGGCAGCAGCAGCAGGCAGCAGCTGCGGATTGGCAGGGCAGCGCTGGCGGCGGCCAGGCAGGGCAGGGCAGCGCTGAGCAGCGCGTGCAGGCAGGGCAGCAGTTGCAGCAGCCTGTAGTAGCAGCGGCAGTGGCCAACAGCAGTGGCGGCAGCAGCAGGTAGCAGCTGCGGATTGGCAGGGCGCGCAGTGTGCAGCGCGCGGGCAGCTCGCGGGTCGCCGGCAGAGCGTAGGGCAGTCGCTCGTGGGCGGCGCAGGGCTGTGCGCGGGCCTGGTGCGGGCTGTACAGGCTGCGCGTGGGCCTGGAGCGGGCTGTACAGGCTGCGTGCGGGCCTTGCGCGGGTTGTACAGACTGCGCGCGGGCGGCGCGCGGGCTGTACGGGCTGCGCTCGGGCGGCACGCTGGCTGTACGGGCTTCGCGCGGCAGGGCAGGGCAGGGCAGTGCGAGAGCGCTGGGCAGGGCAGGGCAGCAGCGCGATAGCGTGCTGGGCAGGGCAGAAACGTCGGGCAGGGCAGGGCAAAAACGAACGCCGGGCAGGAACGAACTAATTTGATAAACCCCTTAAAACAGAACGGTCCTAGAACGGGACCTACTCTGAAACCATGTTAGAATAGGAATGTGTGATTAGGGGGGAGGGGGTATAAGTACAATGTCGAAAGAATTGTTGTACCCCCTAAGGCTAAACCCCCCCCTAAGGCTAAACCCCCTAAGGTTAAACCCCCTACAGGGACCTCTATTTTCGCCGGATGCCACAGGCGGCGACTTAGCTGGTGTGCACAGGCCAGCGGTAGATCTTTCGCTGGGTTCGCTAGGTTACCAGATTCGGATTCTCGCTACGAGCATAATATGTGACCCAGCCAGGATTCGAACCCAAACGCCCGGCTCAGCCCTGGGCCAACGCGCAAACCGTTGCACTCACAATGTTTTGACGCCCTTCCACAAAAGCTGGTCAGACTAGGACAGGACGTGAGGCAGGCCAAAGCCGTATGATAGGGCGTTAGGAAGTGAAAGGGGAAAGGGCGAGAGGCGGGGTTGCGGGGGATTGGGGATGGTTGGGAGTGGCGAGGGGATGATGAGGGGGTGGTGAAATTATGGATTGGGAATTTACACAGAATTTAATCTTAGGCGCTGGTGTCGATGGCCGTATGGATCGAGAAAGCAGCGCTGTACCTGCTGTCGCTGCCGCTGGAGAGCCACATTCGAGGCTACAACGAGCAGCGCAAGGACAGCCGCCCAAACAATCCCTCTCGCGGCGTGCGGCCACATATTCCTGTTTCCGCGATTGTCGCGATCCTGTGCGCTTTCGCCGTCGCGCCGAGGCGACCATCGGTCGCCCAAACGATTATGGAGACGACGTGCGAATGACAGACGCAGGCTGTTTCCTGCGACTGTTCTGGCCACGACTGATTCTACTGTAGTATGTTTGCAGCGAGGGTTGAGTTAGTGCAAAAGCCACGTCTCATCCGACGACAGCACGAGACCCCAGACTCAACGTTTCTGTTTCCGAAGATTTCACAACTGCTCTTCTGCCTCACAATGATGCCGTCCCTGTTTGGGCGGGAAGTAAATCGCCGAGAGCCGAGTGTCGCTAACACAATCGCATGCGGTCGTCCGTCAAACCTAAAATGCGGTTTCCGATGTGGGGCTGGAGGACCTTTGCCCCACCAGGACGCCATCCCTCAAAAACTGGGATCGTGTGGGGAGGGGGATTAGACGGTATCCAAACGAAAAGTACAAATCGGGTCGCGCCGGCCATGTATCCAAGGCGCGCTGAGAAGGTTGTGCATGTCAGGTCTGATCTGAGCCTGAAATGCATGTCAGGTTATTTGTTACAGGCTCAGATCAGGTCTTATCATTCGTAAGTCTTCTGCGTGGAAATCGTGCGGGAAGGAACGAGCTGGGATGCTTATTCGAGGTTCGCAAGCCAATAGATCATATAATGCATGGAAGAGTGCAAAGTTTACCGTACATGATTGAAGTTGTTATGAGTTGTAGAATAAAGTTGAGTGGAATAACGAATAACAATTGTGTGACTGAGAATACAGTGAAAACATGTGAGAATATAGTGACTGCTACGAATGATAAATTAAGGAAGGGCACTGTGCATTCCTGACAGCAGCAAAAGAAGCACATAATATTGGAGTTCGAGACGAAGAGCCAGAAATGACTCGAAGCGACGCAGACAGTTGGGTTTGAATTTGAATAAGGGGATGTACCCCAGAGTACGTGGCTAGTTAGGACGATTGATATTCCCTTGTACTACTATTTATATGCTTGTATTTGCATGCTTTTAATCATCTCAATCATCTTATATTCACTCTGATTTGAGGTCAAGGGCCCACCACTACCACACATTCTGTGCGAACTTTCTGAAGTGATCCTGGTTACGATCAACTTCTGATTGGAGCATGGTATGAGAGTGACTTGGGAATCCTTCGCAATGCCACCACCGAAAAAATCGGCGAATGAAAAGTGGGGTCCGGCACACGCTCGCGCATAAGGATGGCCGGAGGATCTGGAGGCCAGACGAATCTGACCGCTGAAGCGCAGCCCAACCCGGCTGCGACAAACGAAGCGACGACAACGATCGGGACCGCTGTCATCGAACAACTGCTTCAGCGACTCACGAACTTGGAGCAAGGACTCCAAACATTGAGGAACATCTTCCCAACCCTCTCAATTGGCCTCAAATGGCCACAATACCGCCCCGCACACCTTCTCCCTCGAAACGAATGGCTCAACTCCCAAGACCCCTCGTCCCAGCGAAGAAGCAATTCCTCTGCACGATCAAGGTTCCTGAGCATATCAAAAATAAAGACAAGTGTGTGTTTTGACGGCAGAGACTTCTATACGTGGAGCTTCGAGCTAGAGCTGCTGGTGCAGAACGCACATATATTTTATTATTTTGACGGGAGCTACGCGAGACCTGCTGAAGACACGCCTGACGACAGGGCGCAGTATTACAACGAATCCCTGATGGCGTACGGTGTTCTACTGCGAAACATGTCGCCGGCGGAGCAGCTGAGCCTCAGCCCTCGACGCCTGGCGGCATCTAAACGTCGTCTACCAACCAAAGGACTCGGTTTTATCGAGCCGCCTGCTCCAGCAGCTACTGGAGACAAAAATGGCCCAAGGGGAGAAGGCAAACAGCTACATCAATCGTTGTCGGAGCTTACGCAATCAGACCGCGAAATTAGGAAGCAGAATTTCCGAGGAAAGTTTTGTGAATATTGTGCTTCAAGGGCTTGGCCCAGAATGT